CCCCCCCTGAACCCCAAATTCCGCAGCCCCGCCCCCGAGCCCGGCCCCCCCGAGAGCCTGCGGGCGCTGCGGCAGAGCTTCGCCAGCCTCTTCGCCCCCCTGAACCCCAAATTCCGCAGCCCCGCCCCCGAGCCCGGCCCCCCCGAGAGCCTGCGGGCGCTGCGGCAGAGCTTCGCCAGCCTCTTCGAGTGACCCCGAAACCGCCGGGGACCCCAAAAACCGCCCGGGGACCCCAAAAACCGCCCGGGACACCCCAAAAACTGCCCGGGGGACCCCGAAACTGCCCGGGGAACCCCAAAAACCACCGGGGAACCCGAAAATGCACCTGTGCCCGGGGACCCCAAAAACCGCCCGGGGACCCCAAAAACCGCCCGGGACACCCCAAAAACTGCCCGGGGGACCCCGAAACTGCCCGGGGAACCCCAAAAACCACCGGGGAACCCGAAAATGCACCTGGGAAACCACAAAAACTGCCTGGGACACCTCGAAATGCACCCGGGGAACCCCAAAACCGCCAGGGACACCCCGAAACTGCCTGGGAAACCCCAAAATGCGCCTGGGGAACCACAAAATGCACCTGGGGAACCACAAAAAACGCCCAGGACACCCCAAAAACACCCGGGGCACCCCGAAATCCAGCTGGGTGAACCCTGAAATGCACCTGGGGAACCCCAAAATCCACCCGGGACACCCCAAATGCACCTGGGGAACCCCAGAATGCACTTGGGACACTCGGGGAGCCCAAAATCCAACTGGGGAACCCCGAAACCTGCCCGGGGAACTCCAAGATACAGCCGGGGAACCCCAAAATCCACCTGGGGATATCCCAAAAATCCCCCCCAGGGATACCCCAAAAACCCACCCGGGGACACCCGAAAACCCCTGGGGATATCCCGAGAATCCCACTGGGGGCACCCCAAAATCGCCCTTGGGGCACCCCAAAATCCCCCCGGGGCACCCCAAAAATCCCCTGGGGGCATCCAAAAAACCCTGCTGGGGACACCCCAAAAATCCCGCTTGGAACATCCCAAAAGTCCCCCCAAAACTGCCCATGGGACACCCCAAAAATCCCACTGGGGACACCCCAAAATCCCCCCCGGGGGCTCCCCAAAACCCCTTCGGTTCACCCCAAAATCCATCCCTGCCTCGTGACCCCACAAAGGGGGGGTTTGGGTACCGGGGACCCCCGAAAATTCACCCCAAATCCGCCCTGGGACACCCCAAAATCCCCCTGGGGTGCCCAAAATCCACCCGGGACCCCCCAAATCCGCCATGGGGGCGTCCCAGGTATTCAGAACCCCCCAAAATCCACTCGGGGACCCCAAAATCCACCCGGGACCCCCCAAAATCCAGCCCAGGGGGGCCCCGAGTGTTCAAGACCCCCCAAAATCCACCCGGGACCCCCCAAAATCTACTCGGACCCCCCAAAATCCATCCTGGGAGGGGTCCCGAGTGTTCAAGACCCCCCAAAATCCACCCACGACGCCCTAAAATCCACCCGGGACCCCCCAAATCCCCTCTGGGGGGAGGTCCCAGGGGTTCAGAACCCCCAAAATCCACCCGGGACCCCCCAAACTGGGGACACGGGGACACCTGGACACACCTGGCGGGGACAGTTGGGGACAGCTGGGACACACCTGGGGACACCTGGGAGGGACCTGGGGACACCCGGGGACAGTTGGGGACAGCTGGGACACACCTGGGGACACCTGGGAGGGACCTGGGGACACCTGGGGGACATTGGGGACACACCTGGGCACAACTGGAACACACTTGGGAACACCTGGGGACAACTGGGGACTGTTTGGGACACCTGGGACACACCTGGGGATACCTGGGGGGAGCCTTGGCACACCTGAGGGGCACCTGGGGGCACCTGTGACACACCTGGGAGGGACCTGGGAAGCACCTGGGACACCTGGGGACAGCTGGGACACAGATCGTGGGAGCCTTGGCACACCTGGGAGCACCTGGGGACAGCTGGGGGGGGCCTGGGGACACCTGGGGAGAGCCGGGGATACCTGGGGGGAGCCTTGTCAGACCTGGGGGGCACCTGGGGACACCTGGGGGACACCTGGGGGTAACTGGGACACACCTGGGAGGGACCTGGGGACAGCTGGGACTCACCTGGGAACAACCGGGGGACATCAGGGCATATCTGGGTCACACCTGGTGACAGCTGGGGATGCCTTGGAGAGTTGGGCACACCTGGGACACACCTGGAGACACCTGGGGATCGCTGGGACACCCCTGGGAGGGACCTGGAGACACCTGGGAGGGACCTGGGGAGCACCTGGAGACAGCTGGGGGCAGTTTGGCACACCTTGGGCACACCTGGAGCATACCTGGGGGTACCTGTGACACACCTGGGCACAGCTGGGGATACCAAGGGCACACCCAGGGGAAACCTGGGGACAGTTGGGCAGAGCTGGGGGCACGTGGGGCACACCTGGGGCACACCTGTAACACACCTGTGGCACATCTGGGCACACCTGGGGACACCTCTTACACACCTGGGGGACACCTGTGACACACCTGAGGACAGTTGGGGCACACCCGGCCACACCTGGGCACACCTGGGACACACCGGGGCACACCTGGACACACCTGGGCACACCCGGGCACACCTGGACACACCGGGGCACACCCGGGCACACCTGTGGCAGGTACGCGCTGCGGGGGGCACGGGCCGCGCTGTTCCGGCTGCGCTCGGAAGGTTCTATCGCCGATAGCGCGGCGGGCATGTCGCGACATGCGACCGCGACAGGGAGGGAGAGAAGGACGGGCCTTGGACCTCCCGCCCGCCAGGGGGCGCCCGCCGGGCGGCAGCGCGATGATGACGCGCTTCCGGCGATGACGTCAGAGGCAGCATGGCGGCGGCGGAGAAGGCGCAGCGCTACGAGGCGTTCGTCAGCGACGTCCTGCAGCGCGACCTGAGGTAAGCGACGTCATATCGCGACAGAAACCCCGCCCCCGCGACAGCCCGGCCCTCCCCTCAGCGCTGGGGCCACGCCCCTTCCGCTTAAACCCCGCCCCCGCACAATGGCGGCGTGTTGTGGCCACGCCCATTCACGCGGAGGCCACGCCCTCTTCCTGACCACGCCTCTCTCTTTATGAATAATAAGTGTTGCGGCCACGCCCATTCACGCAGAGACCACGCCCTTTTCATGGCCACGCCTCCTCTGCCTCTAATACTCATTTGCATAACAACCGCGTGTTGTGGCCACGCCCTTTCACGCTGAGGCCACGCCCCATTCAACGCCGCATAACGTGCCCACGCCCATTCATTATGAGACCACGCCCACTTCATGGCCACGCCCCCTCGCATGACAACAACGTGCCGTGACCACGCCCATTCACCCGAAGCCACGCCCACCTCCAGACCACGCCCCTCCCTGCATAACAAACAAGTTGTGGCCGCGCCGTTCGCGGGGACCACGCCCATTCAGTGGCCACGCCCCCTCGTTGTGACCACGCTCGTTCCCCGTCTCGCCCCGCCCCGGGAGGCCACGCCCCCCGGAGGCCCCGCCCCCCGGAGGCCCCGCCCCTGAGCAGCGCCCCCTGCAGGCGGGTGCAGGAGCAGCGCGACGCCGTCTTCGAGCAGGGGGTTTCAGGGGACTTGGGGGTCTTTTGGGGAGTTTGGAGGTAACTGGGAGATCTTGAGGGGGGATTAGGGGAGATTTGGGGGGTAATTGGGGGTCTCTGGGGAGATTTGGGGCCTTTTTGATGGGATTTGAATTGTATTTGGGGGGTTCCGGGGGTGCTTGGGGGTCCCCGGGGGTCTTTGGGGTCTCTGTGTGACCCCGGGGGTCCCGGGGGGGTTTTGGGGTCCCCAGGACGCCGACGCCCCCCTGCACACCCAGGTGGATCTCGGCTGCAATTTCTTCGTCAGCGCCGAAGTGTGAGTGGGGCGGGGACCCCAAAAACCTCCTGAGACCCCAAAACCTCGTCAGACCCCCCAAAAACCTCCTCAGACCCCTCAAAAAGCTCCTGAGACCCCCAAAAAGCTCCTCAGACCCCTCAAAAACCTCCTGAGACCCCAAAAAACCTCCTCATACTCACCCAAAATCTCTTCAGACCCCTTGAAGACATCCTGGCACTCCCCAAAACCTTCTGAGACCCCCAAAAATCTTCTCAGACATCCCCAAAATCTCCTTAGACCCCCCCAAACCTCCTCAGACTCCCCTAAACCTGTTCAGACCCCCCAAAACTTTTTCAGACCCCCCAAAAATGTCCTCAGACCCCCCAAATCCTCCTGAGACCCCCAAAGACCTTCTCAGACCCCCCTAAAACCTTCTTAGACTCCTCAAAAGTTTCCTCAGACCCCCCAAAAACCTCCTCAGACGCTTCTTAACCTGTTTAGACGCCCCAAAACATTTCCAGAACCCCCCAAAACCTTCTCAGACCGCTCAAAAATCTTCTCAGACTCCCCAAAAACCTCCTCAGACCCCCCAGAAACAGCCTTAGACCCCCCAAAAACCTTCTCAGACCCCCCAAAAACCTTCCTGAGACCCCTTAAAAACCTCCTGAGACCCCCTCAAAACCTCCTCAGACCCCCAAAAACCTCCTCAGCCCCCCAAAACTCACCCCTTGACCGCTGCAGGGACCCCAAACCTCTCCTGAGAGACCCCAAAACTCCCGGGGACCAACCTGGGAACCTTTGGGACCCCAATCCCCTTTTAGGACAACTCCCACTCCCCCCAAAACTCCCTCTGAGCTCCCAAAGCCCCCCGGGGACCCCATAAATCCCCTCAATTGGATTCCCCCGGGGGTCCACGCCCCCCAGGACACCCCAGAACCCCCCGAGGGTCCCCCCTGACCCCGTTTTTCCCCGGCCGTGCCCCCAGCCCGGACCCCCGGCGCGTTTTCGTGGCTCTGGGTTTCGGGTTCTTCGCGGAGCTGACGCTGCCCGAGGCCCTGCGGCACCTGGAGCGCCGCAGCTCGCTCCTGCAGAGGTGAGACCCCGGCCACGCCCCCTGGCCACGCCCCAGGACACGCCCAGGACACGCCCACACCGCCTGGACACGCCCCGTGCTGCTGGGCATGGACCCGCAGTCATTCTGCCTTGGCCACGCCCCTTTTAGCATAAGCCACGCCCATTTTGAGGTCACACCCATTGAGGTCACACCCTATCAAGCCACGCCCACCATGCCATGCCCTATCCTGTGTTTGGGGTGGGAGTATGTGGCCACACCCCTTTGTGACCACACCCACTTAGGCCACGCCTCTTTGAGCTCACCTGGGGCCACAGGCGGCCCCAGGTGGGCAAACCCCGCCCCCTTTGACCACGCCCATCCCATAAAAGGAGATCCCACCCCATGACCAAAAAAGGAGTGCTGCTCATCAGGCCACGCCCACATTTCCTAAGCCACACCCACACCATAAAAGGAAAGGACATTTTCATTATTTACTTTAAAAAGCTGTGGCCTTGCCCTGCCAATCATCAGGCCACACCCACTCAGGAGACCCCACCCATCCTGTGCCCCTCCCACCAAAGCCCCGCCCACCAAAGCCCCGCCCCTCAAGCCCCGCCCCTTCCAGGCTCAGCGATTCCCTGACGCGCGACGGGGCCAAGATCCGCGCCCACATCCGCCTGGTGCTGGAGTTACCCCCACGCTCTGCCCCTCCCCCAGGGCCTGCGGGAGCTGCAGGGGCTGCAGGAGCCCCCCGTGACCTCTGACCCCTGAGGGAGCCGCCCACCTGCGCTGGCCACGCCCCCTCGCCTGCGAGTAAACCTGGAGTAGAGCGGAGCTGGGGCACCCGGAGTAGCCCGGGAGTAGCCCGGGATTAACCCGGGAGTAACCCGGGAGTAACCTTGGAGTAACCCGGGAATAAACTTGGAGTAACCCGGGAGTAACCTGGGAGTAACCTTGGAGTAAAGAGGAACTTTTACACCTGGGAGTAAAGTGTGTGTAAATATGGAGTGAAGTGGAGTTTTTACACCTTGGAGTAAAGCAGAGTTTTTATATCTCAGTGTGATCTGTGTGTAAGTATGGAGTAACTTGGGAGTAAACTTGGAGTAAAGCAGAGCTTTTACACCTGGCTGTAGCCTGGGAGTAAATGTGGAGTTTTTACACCTTGGAGTAAAGCAGAGTTTTTATACCTCGGTGTGACCTGTGTGTAAATATGGAGTAACTTGGGAGTAAACTTGGAGTATAGCAGAGCTTTTACACCTGGGGATAACCTGGGAGTAAGCTGGGAGTAAAGCGGAGCTTTTACACCTGGGAGTAACCTGGATGTAAAGCTGGAGTAAAGCGGAATTTTTGCATCTTGGAGTAACACGTGTGTAAACCAGGAGTAAAGCCAAATTTTTACACCTCAGAGTGACGTGGGTGTAAATCCAGAGTAAAGCGGAGTTTTTACACCTTGGAGTAACCTGCGAGTAAAGGTGGAGTGGGGGAGGGGTGTGGCACACGGGAGGGAGCTGGGAGTAACCCTGGAGTGACTGCAGGGCAGTAGTGGAGTAACCTGTGGGTAAACTTGGAGTAACCCCTGAGTACCTGCTGAATAACGGAGTTTTTATATCTCGGTGTGATCTGTGTGTAAATATGGAGTAATCTGGGAGTAAACTTGGAGTATAGAAGAGCTTTTACACCTGGGAGTAATCTGGGAGTAAATGTAGAGTAAAACGGAGTTTTTATACCTTGGAGTGACTCGTGTGTAAATGTGGAGTAAAACAGAACTTTTACACCTGGGTGTAACTGGGGTGTAAATATGGAGTAAAGTGGAGTTTTTACACCTTGGACTAAACCTGGAGCAAAGCGGAGATTGTACATCTGGGAGTAAACTATGTGTAAACTTGGAGTAAAGCGGAGTTTTTGCACCTGGGCGTAACCCGTGTGTAGGCCTGGAGTAAAGCAGGTGTTTTACATCTTGGAGTAAGCTGTGTGTAAAGGTGGAGTGGGGGAGGGAGCTGGGAGTAACCCCGGAGTAGTTTATGAGTAAACTGTGAGGGCCCTGTCAGCAGGGGGGAGGGTCCTGGGAGTAACCCTGGAGTAACCCTGGAGTACCTGGAGTAAGCCTGGCGTGACTGCAGGGCAGTAGTGGAGTAACCTGTGGGTAAACTTGGAGTAACCCCTGAGTACCTGCTGAATAACCCCTGAGTAACCTCGAGGTACCCCTGGAACACCCTGTTCTGATGCAGGAGTAACTCCAGAGTAACCTCGGAGTAACCCCTGAGTAAGGTCAGAGTAACCCTGGAGTAAGTTTGGAGTAATCCCTGAGTAACCCCGGAGTATCCTCGGAGCAGCCCCATCCATCTCCAGGCTGCGGAGTAAACCCGGAGTAACCCTGGAGTCCAAAAAGGGGGCGGAGCCTCTTTGGGTTTGCCCCTCCCCCTCGCTCTGGGGGCGGGGCCAATGGGGGAGGGGCGGGGCTGGCCCAGATGGGGTTGGGGGAGGGGCCTCCAGCCCGGCTGTGACGTCACTGGGGCTGGGGGTTCCCCGAAGGGAATCCCCGCCCCCATTTCCCATCTAGGGATTTGGGGGAGGGTCCCAAACAGTTCCCGCCCCCCAAGACCCCTCCCCACACCGAGGGGGCGTGTCCTCATAAGCCCCGCCCCCTTTTCACCCCCTCTCCTTTCCCACCCTTTGCTCTGACGTCACCGGTACTTAGCTCCGCCTCTCCAGCGCTTGTCCCGCCCCACAGTGACGTCATCCGCCGCATAGCCCCGCCCCTCCAGCGCGTTCTCCCGCCCCTCACGCTAATGTCACTCACTGCTTAGCCCCGCCCCTCCGGCTCCAGCCCGGCCCGCTGTCGCGCAGGGCAGGGCCATGGACCGGATGAAGAAGATCAAGCGGCAGCTGTCGATGACGCTGCGGGGCGGCCGCGCCCCCGACAAGGGCCTGGGGGACCCCCGCGACGGCGCCGGCAGCGACAGCGGTGAGCGCTGGCCCTTTAAGGGGAGCCCCGCCCCCTCGGAGCGAGCCCCGCCCCCCCAAAGTGGGGAGCTGGCCCTTTAAGGCGGCGCGGGTTGGGGGTGCCTGGCCCTTTAAGAAGATGGGGGCAGGGTCGGGGGTGCCTGGCCCTTTAAAAGCCTTGGGGGTGGCGGGAAGGAAATTGAGGGGTGTCTGTCCCTTTAAGAGGGTTCTTGAAGCTTTAAGTGGTCGCTGTCCCTTTAAGAGGGTGCCTGTCCCTTTAAGAGCTTCGGTGGTGGTGGTGGGGGGCAGAAGAGAAATTGAGGGTGCCTGTTGCTTTAAGAGGTCGGCTGTCCCTTTAAGGAGGCAGAGGGAGCACAGTTTTGGGGTGCCTGTCCCTTTAAGAGGACGCCTGTCCCTTTAAGAAGCCGGGAGGGGGCACATTTTGAGGTGTCTGTCCCTTTAACAAGTTGGGGGGGTGCAGTTTTGGGGTGCCTGTCCCTTTAAGAAGCCGGGGGGGGGCACATTTTGAGGTGTCTGTCCCTTTAACAAGTTGGGGGGGTGCAGTTTTTGGGGTGCCTGTCCCTTTAAGAAGGTACCTGGCCTTTTTACAGTGTGCGTGTCCCTTTAAGAAGGTGCCTGTGCCTTTAAGAAGCCAAGGGTGGCACAGTTTTGGGGTGCCTGTCCCTTTAAGAAGCTCGGGGGTGGTTCACAGTTTTGAGGTGCCTGTCCCTTTAAGAGTGTGCCTGTCCCTTTAAGAAGCCGACAGTGGCACAGTTTTTGGGGTGCCTGTCTCTTTAAGAGGGTGCCTATCCCTTTAAGAGGGTGTCTGTCCCTTTAAGAAGCCGACGGTGGCACAGTTTTTGGGGTGCCTGTCTC